TTGAAAATGCCAAGCATCTATTTGAAAGAATCTGTTATTTGAGGAACAATGTCTTATTGAGAAAGCAAAACAGACTTTTGGAATATTTAAACAGTGAACATTAATATGTGATTAAATACCCGAATGAATGGGTGGTGGAAATAGTACCGGGTGTTGGCAAAGAGAGAAAAGGAAGACTACTTAGGGACATAATATGTATTGAGCCACAAATACGGTTTTGAGCGTGTTGCTAGTAGAGGTTTTCATGTTGGTAGTAGAGGAGAAAATAGGGTCTTTAACGAAGGGTACAGAATGAGTATGGCCTCAGAAACAGGAGTAGATATGATATACTGAAGAAAAAGCCAGCCATCCTGGAGGCATGAAGACCAAAAATAGAAGGAGATGAGGTTGGAAAAGTCGGAAAGGCAAGATGTGGAAGGTATTTAATGTCAAACTCAAGGATCTAGACTTTACTCTGCAGACATTGAAAACCAACTGGAGACTAGTGTAATTAAAAAGAAAGTTAAAGGCTGGGTGCAGTGGCCCATGCCTGTAATCCCAGCATTTTGGGAGGCTGAGGTGGAAGGATTACTTAAAACCAGGAGTTAGAAACCAGCCTGGGTTACAAAGTGAGACCTCATCAGTACGAAAAAATAAAATAATAAACTAGTCAAACGGGCACACCTATATTCCTAGCTACTCAGGAGACTGAAGCAAGAGGATTGCTGGAGCCTAGACTTTCGAGGCTGTAGTGAGTTGTGATTGTACCACTGCACTCTAGCCTGGATGACAACGTGAGACCCTGTCTCCTAAAAAAAAAAAAAAAAAAAAAGCCCAAAACAACAACGAAATGGTTAAGACCGTCTGTGCACATGAATTGGTGATGAGTAATTTAGTGCTATATTTTCTCTGTATTTATTTGGAATCATATAAACCTATATTTCAGTACAGAAGGGCACTGAGTCACACTTAGGTGACATATTTCCTCCCAAAATCCCAGCGAACTTCAGGAAGTGGTGGGGGTGATTCAGCAAGGGGATATCTTCCTGACCATGTGATGATTGTGGCTGCATAGAGCTCTTTTTGCCAGGCTATGAGAACAATCTTTCCGTAATTTCTGTTGTTGACGCTTACTCAACGTTTTCTCAGATGGAAACTTGGGGGTAAGACTAGATGGGAGCAAACTTAGAAGTTTTAGAGTCTCTCTGCTAAGTCTTCCTCCTGAAGCTTTTCTGAAGCGCCGGAACCTCCTGGAGAGGCCTTACTTACCAAAGAAAAGATAGATATTGGTCAGTTAGCTTGATTCTTTGATTACTTATGATAAAAAATAAAGAATATGATAGGCTTTTATATTCCCAGTACCCCAAGATTGGCTCTAATCTTAGATGGGTCTTAAAAGTCCATGGAAGTCCACGTATAGTCTTATTTTAGGTATCTTAACCTAAATTGTGCAGAGGTATGTTTTAGTGGATTGACCTAACCTAACTAACAGATCTTTTGAGATTTTATTTTGTATAATTTATAAAATGGAAAGTATTATCAATGTAGCATAAAGATTAAGAAATGAGCTCTGGAGCTGGACTGCCTGGGTTCTGGTCCTGATTTCTCCACTACTTAACCTTGGGCAAGTTATTTAACCCCCTGCCTCGATTATCTCATTTAGAAGATGGAAATAATTTACTTCTTTCCTAGGATTTTTGTCAGAATGAAACGAACAAATTTGTTGTTTATTTACTAAGAGTAAAGCTCCTAAAATATTGCCTGGTATACACATTCCCAATAAATATTGCAATTAGTGTACCATAAATGAAAAAAATTAAAGCAGGTAAAGCTTAAGTGATTAAGTGACTTAGGTAGTTATCCGGCAACATGACTACACCAGGATTAGCATTTCTTATTTTAAGACAGTCTACTGAAGTAGCTGGTTTTTTAGACCAGAGGTCAGCAAATCTTTTCTTAAAAGGGAAGATATAAACATTTTACACTTGTGGATCTTAAGGTCTGTGTTGCTACTACTCAACTCTGTCATTGTGTCTTGGAAAAATCAACCACAGGCAAAATGTAAATATATGGGTGTGGCTGTGTTCCAATAAAATTTCATTTACAAAAACAGGTGGCAGACCCACATTTGGCCTTCTTACAGACCCTTGCTTTATTCACTTAAGTCATATCTGAAAGGAGACTACAGATTCCATTTCATTTTGAAGGCTGAAATATGGCATTATGTATTATAATAAACAAACTTTGCTTTTTAATGATTGTTTAACATGTTAGTCTCATGATGGTCATACTTTAGGATAGCAAAGGGATTTAGAAAATAAACAATAGTAACGAATGTGTTTTTTATCTCAAAGAGATCCATAGAAATCACTTATTTAATGGTTGGAGAATTATCTTGGAATTTGAGACCTGAGGTTGTGGGCAGATGTTAAGAGTTTGTTTGATTAAATGGACCCAAATATAGACTGGTTTCTTTTTTTTCTTCTGTATGTATGGGATAGGTTTGTGAGTCAAATAAAAAGCTATTTGTAAGTATACTTGTTATTTCACTAAGGGTTTTTCTTCTAGGAATGTTGTTTGCATGGGTTTGGATTTTTTTATGCCTTACTTTTCAGTTTGATAATGTGTTCTTGTTTTCAAATTAAACTTGTCATTGAGCCTTTTTGCGAGTGGCTATGTTGGTTAGTTAGTATTTATAGCTTAAGTCTGTTTCTGAGGAAATGACTAAAGTCTCTTTGCATTCAATCAAAACTGTAGAACAAAGAACATCTTTGACTTACTTAAACAAGTCCTATGATGAAAACTCAAAAAATATAATGGTTCATGTTTATAAATGTTTTTGTGTATTCAGTCCTGGTTAGGCCAAATAATCAGAGCTCTGTGTTGAGGGAGGGATTGAATATATTCAGTGCCTGTTAGTTAATGTGAATTTCTCTGGAGCACATTCAGGCAATGCTTATTTTCTCATAATCCTCCTCCCATCTTTGCCTGCCCCCCGCCCCACGCCGCCACCACTGCTTTTTTCATTTTACATATTGTTTTGAATTGGATTTTATAGAACATAGGTTTTTTTTTTTCTTTTCTTCTTCTTCTTTTTAAACTCTTCTACTAATTTTCTCCTTTCTCATTCCTAGCCAAGAGCCCTGATCCAGGTGAAGCATGTAAACCTTGCACATGGAATTCCCAGCAAGGAGGCTGGTGTGGCTCAGGGCAGGGCCTGGGAAGTGACTAACTTGCAGAAACCCGCTGTGTCTTGTTCTCTTCTGGAGACCCCTGCTTCACCATGTTGTGAACATCTGCAGCCCCCCACTGCACCCTAATCTTTCCCTCTTACTGTTGACTCAGTCCTCATGGAAGTGTAGGTGCCCTTCCTTCTGCTCATGATGTTCCAGGGCAGGAGATGAGGGGGCTGAGTAGGGAAGAAGAGAAGGCCCAGGTCCTGTCTGCTCAGACCCGGGCTGACGTCTGCCCTGGGACTCAGGCTGGGACTTGTATTTTACCATAAAGGCCCTATGACAGGTGGTGGTTGGATTTTGGGGTTAGATCAGCTGTGTTGTGGACTGACTGGGATTTTCTGCACTCGCTTTTAATCTAATTGTTACTTGGTTCCATTGATTGTTTCAGCTCTTTCATAAGCAGCTGGAGGAACCACTTCCCCAACTAAATCTTGGGTCTAAGTATGAAACATGAAAGTGAAATCGCACCGCACAGGGCTGCACATCCAGTCACTTCTGCCTGTGCTCTCAGAAGCACCTGAGGGTGGAATTCCTAGGAGCTCACTTTGAAAACTGTTCATTAACATGACTGTTTACTTTCAGAGCACAGCCTAGTCTTAAACTTGAGCTTGCCTATGTATATATCATAAATTACTTAAAATTTGCTGGGATTAGTGTGTATATATGGGCCATATATGAAGCCAGCTGTAGGAGAAAGCAGAACGGACAGATACTTACCTGATATGATTTGATGGGTTGTTGAGAAATTCCATGATGAAAATCCACACCCCCATTCATTCCTGAAATTCCATAGTCAGTAATGCATTTTATTTCACTGTTAAGCACCTGCCTTTTCTGAAGCTTTTTTTTTTTTTTTTTAAATAAAAAATGTCCTCATGAAGGATATACATTAAGTTCTTGCAACCTTGGAGCTGATCCTTTTGCTTCCCTGTTTGATTAAACATCTTGGGTTAATGAATCCTCAAAAGGACAGATAGAAAGAAGGAAACAGCCATATCCGTACATCATAATTTTGTCTAGGACTGGCCCTGACTCTGTATGCATTTGTAAAACACGTGTGGCAATAGCTCTTGTATTTAACTGGGAGACATCTTACTTCCTCCTTTGGATGCAGGTAGTTCTGAGGTATTTGAAGAGATGGCATCTCAAAAGGAACTTGCACTGTTCTTAAATATTCTTTTAGTACCAAAATATATTTTATTACTGTATCATGGTGAGGATATATGTGCCCGTATATACTAATGGGAATTTTCCCCTAAGTATGAGTTATTCAAGAGATAAGAGAATCAGAAACGCAAGTCTGAAAAATAATGTATGTATTTCTACTTATTTTATACAACTTGTTCCTGTTGGACAATAAAATAATAGATTGTGGGCATTTCCAATTTTTTTTACCTTAATGACAAAATATTGCAAAACCATGGTTCATTCATTTACTCAACAAACATTCATAGAGTACCTACCATGTGCTACTACTACTTTGTGCTATAAGAATTAATGATGGTGGCTTCAGCGGAAAAATTAGTCATCAGGGAATATTTGAGGTTGTCCAGTGACTGAGGAAGGAAGGGAGAGAAGGGTGGAGTACTGGATGGGGACGAAGGAAGAAGGAGGATAGGAGAGAAAGGATGGATGGAAGGAAGTCCTTAATACATGTTTTGTTGTTTTTAATTTTACTCATGTTATCTAGTTTAATGTTTTTTATATACTCAGCCATTTGCCACTTTTATTTTTTCTGATGCGCTATAATTTTCACTTGTCATTTTTGTATTTGTTTCTTTTCAGTATAAAAGAACGTGTGGATCAGTTTGCTAAGTACATCCAAGATTTGAAGAACTGAAATAAATCGGCATTAAACCTGCTTTTTAAAAACGTAAGTGAACTCACTTCTGGCCATGGTTCATTTCAGACCTCTCTAAAGCCTGCAATTACTTCTCAGTGTGTGTGAATTTTTTTTCAGTAGTAAAGTTACTTGACTCTAGTGAGTCTACTAATTAAGTCTAGGAGTGTTTGTATCCACTCCCCCTTTTAAAACCTGTAAATTCTAAGAGTAGCATGAATAACATAGGTGGCTGTAGGACTTAGATGTGGCAGGCAATGAGCAAATCTTCATTTGGCACTGAGAAGGAAAACACAGACGACCTGGTAGTACATAAAATAAAAAGCATAGCCCTCTTCTCGAGTCCTTCATCACTCTCCACCTCACAGACCATTTCACCACCTTATCTACACCAGTGAGAATTGCTAGTTGACCCATTAATGACCCAGTAGGCTTAGAATATGAGGCATTCGTTTCTCACAAGCATATTTACCCACTTCCTCCCTATTTCTCTTGCTCAGTAGTAATAACTACTATTTATTGAGCTTCTATCAAGTAACAAGCATTTGATTAATTTGATTCCATATTCATTCCATAAATAGTGTTTCTGAATGCTTGCCATGTGCCAGGCATGGCCCTGACACTACTTATTACCTTATCCTCATGGCACCCTTGCAGGGTAGGAGTTAACACTTCAGTGATCTGGATGAGGATATGAGAGAGGTAAGGAGCATGCTGACGGTCACCTAGCCAGTGAATGTGAACTGTCTGACTTTCTCTGATTTGCCGTATCCTAAAGCATGTTTAGATGGTTTTCCTGGCATGGATGTCAGTAAGAGATTGGAACCCCCTGGATCGTATTCATAATAGGAATGTGATTCTCTTCCTTTTAAACCTTGGCTGCAGTCACAGAAAGGAAGGAAGTTAGAGAAACATCCTGTCACACAGCTTTGGTACCTGTGTGGGGAGCTAAGAGATCTGATGTCCAGTTCCAGTCCTTTCATGAATTTCCTCTGTGTCCATGAGCTACCTAACGTCCATGGGAAACAGTTGGTCTTATGCCAACCAAAGGGCACGGACCAGATGCTTTCAAGGGTCTGTCTCAGTCAGCTCTTTGCTGAAGGAACTTATGCATGGAGGAAAGTGCATACATCATTAAGTGGATAGCTTGAGGGAATAAATGTCACAAAGTAGACACACTTCTTCAGTCAGCACCTTGATTAGTAGAAAATTACCAGCACCCCAGAGCCTTCCTCCCCTCATGCTCCAGGAGCAACCAATATCCTGCCTTGTGATGCCTTTGTTTAGTTTGTTTTTATGAATAGAATCATACAGTGAATATTCTTTTGTGTCTACCTTGTTTTGCTTATTATGTTTGTGAAATCTACAATATTATATACAATATTTTTTGCATTCTCTTTGCTCTCATGCTATTCAATTGTATACCTATTTTACGATTGCTGGACATTTAGATAGTCTCTTGCTTGGGCGTATTACTAATAGTGCTGCTATGAATGTGTTGTGCATATCTTTTGGTGATGATTCTATTTTGTTTGTTCAGGGACTAAAGTAATTTTAATTCATGGCACTTCGGAATGATGTTGAACTTTAGGTAGCCAAGTGATTTGTCTGCTTCAATGTGATGTTCCAAGCTGCTTACTCAACAGGAAGATGTTTTTGTAGATTACTCTTGCGGGGTGTGGCCAGGTGGAAGCCCTCTCTGATATGTGAGTGGTGTGTTGGGGCTTATTGCCCTGGCAGAGAAGGGTTTCAATTGCATGGTACAGGAAGGGACTATGTAGGGGAAGAAGAAATAGATCCAAAAGAGAGATGTGTCTGGGGATTCCCATAGAAACTGTCAGGATATCTTAACAATCAGATCAAGAACCTGGAAAAGTAAGAGCCCCAGGGAAGACTGAGCTTATGAGACCCGATGTGTCTAGGGAAATGAATGGAGAAAGAAAAATGGAGGCAAGCCTGAGCTCAGAAGGAGTTCTCAAAGAATTTTCTGAACAAATTCATTAAGCCTAACTTGTTTTAAGGAAGTTTTGAAAAACCAGTCCCTAAAAGTATGAATCTTGAGTCAAGAATAAACTTAAAAGTATAGAACTAGGAAAAAATGTATTTTCCCAAACAAATACAGGATGTGAGCATGTGGACTTTGCCTTAAGATCTTTCTGCATTCAGATCACAATTCCACCACGTTCTTGTCTCATGACCTCTCTGGGTCAGCGTCCACATCTGTAAAATGGGGATGGTAAAATGTCCACCTCTAAGATGCCCCCAAAATTTGCGGTAACAATTGACTACAATAGTGTTAGTAGTATGCTTCAGGGCACATAGACCTGGCACTAAAAATGATAGTCATTATATTTCTCATTCTTGTTACTAAGATTACCCATTTGTATCTGATACTTTATGAGAGTTTTCAGATCACTTTTTAAAAATATGAGATTTCGGTTTTTAATTTCAGTGTAGTGAATACTAACAAAAAAGATTTTTCTACTTGCCTCACTTTAGACTGAAACTCAGAGGAAGGATGAAAGGAAATATTTGTCCGTGTGTCCTTGGCCTGTCCCTCCCCAGGGTGAGTCAGTGAAGACACTCTTGGTTTTCGGCACTGGTTTACTTGTTCAAAAAGAGACCAGTGGAGCTGAGATTTATAGGAAAGTAGGGTCATTTTGCACAAAGGAAATTTGTAATTGTATATATTATACTTTTTTTTTTTTTTTTTTAAAGAGACAGGGTCTCGGTTTGTCGCCGAGGCTGGAGTGCAATGGTGTGATCCTTGCTCACTGCAGCCTTGAGCTCCTGGGCTCAAGTGATCCTCCCACCTCAGTCTCCTGAGTAGCTGGGACTACAGGCATGTGCCACCATGCCCGGCTAGTTTTTGAATTTTTTGTGGAGACAGAGTCTTGTTTTATTGCCAAAGCTGGTGTTGAACTCCTGGCTTCAAGTGATCCTCCCACCTTGGCATCCCACAGTGCTGAGATTACAAATGTGAGCCACTGCTCCCAGCTGTACTTTCAGTCTTAGGTGTTCTGGGAACTGGCAAATATATGAAATTTTATTTGCCTAAGAGTGCAAGCAATACCCTAGTCTCTCCTCTGTGCCAGTGGTCCTTGAGTTCATGCATGATAGTGGTGAATGCTGTTTTGTTATACCATTTTTGAGGCTGAATGGACCCAGGTACAAGAATGAGGTGGGAGCCCCTTGTCCAGCTTCATCTCTGTCTTCTCTGCATTAGGCCACGGAAGGTTGTGGGGCAGTAGGGTTAGCTATTCACTCAAGCCTGCCTGTATCATCACTCCACCCTGTAGTGCAGTGGTTTGTAAGTAGTCAATTTGTAGCCACTGAGATAATGTCATCCCCAAAGAAATGCATCTACTATGGATTTATCCTTTGCACCATTTTCTCTATACCCTTTTTGCAGTCTTTATCACTTTCATTGTTATGTGGGGAGTGAGGTTTTCTATCTCCTGACTGTCTTTTGTGAACTAAATCTTATTTTATGCAATTTGTACTAAAAATTATAAAAATACTGTTTGGGGATGGCAGTCTTATTTGGAATTGTGTCACATGTTGTTTGTTTTGTGCTTAATTGGTTCATGATAACTTGGACAATATGTAAATGATATTGTTTTCATCATGTAACTCACAAAATGTTTTCCTTTCCGTTTTTTCTCTTTAGTGCTTTCTTCTTTTCCTACCAAATACCTAGGCTCACTTTTACCATCAGATAGAGATTTAGTTGGGCTTTTAGAACTCTCCCTTCAAGCAGATGCCTTGCGTGTGTGTGTGCCTGTGTGTGTGTGTGTGTCTGTAGTTTGTGGGCTGTTAGAAGCTATTTGCTCATCTTGTCAAAGCCATAGCAGTCTTTTCATTCTCAGTTGCTTTGCTTTCTCCTCACCTCTTAGGAAATTGGCAGCCAATGACTTTGATTTTTTTCTCTCTATGAGACAGATATGCTGGTGTATAACTGTAGACAGAGGAAGAGTTTGCACATTTAGCAAACGATCAAATAAGTGGCGTGTGGATGTGTATGTACATACATGCTGGCTCTATAACTGAACAAGTGGTGTTTTTTCTCTCAAGTCTCCATGCATTTATACATTTAATTAGGAGGCTCAAGTATCTGTGATGCCTTTTAGATATATAGCCTCAACAGTTTTTTAAGAAGGGGGAAGAGGGTCCAAGACAATTTTTACTCTTATTTAGTGGATGTGTGGTTTAATGTTATGATACGTTGGGGAAACCTGGGTTCTGACTCTGTCGTTTCAGTGAGCCATGATTTCCCATTGTTTCAGGAGTAGAGAAGTTGGGGAAGGGATCTCAATAGTTCTTAAATCTATTATTTAGCAATAGCTAGAGACTGTGTGCATCTTAATCAAAGAAACGAGATTGGGTCCCCTGGGTGTGGTCTGCATTTCTTCTGTACTGTAGTGCTGTTCTAGTCTTCTGGTCAAATCATAGCTCAGAGCTGCTTCAGCCGAGAGGAGACTTAAATTAGGGATGTGCAATTTACAGCCATTGTAGCAGGATCCATTTAGTCCGTAGGCAGAAGATAACATGTGCTATCTCTGTAGAAATGATAGCAGCTTTCAGATAGAAATAGCCCTGAGAGTTTCTTGTGACTATTAGCTTGAGCTGAGGTGTAATCCCTTACCAGTGGTGGAATCCTAAGTACAATAGAACAGTTAATTGTCTTCTGTGTTCTCATCTGTGGTTCAGAACACAAATTCTTACTGTTCCATCAGCTTTTCTTGCTTATTGTTTGTTTTTTACCTAATTCCTTTATTGTTGTAGTAGTAGTTATATGCTTGGCTTGACATAGTTAGGCTATTTGATATTGTGGTATTAAGATATTTTCGAGGAAAAGGTCATCAGCTGTCTTTCTGGGCTATTCTGGGCATTTTGTACTCTATTTTGGATCTACGTTTTCTTGCTCTTGATTTCTGATTAGCTGTTCTTCCTCTTTGCTTTGGCCTCTCAACTTGCTTGGAAGCTTTTCAACAAATCTGCTCTTGGATGACTGCTTTGTTCAACAAATAAAC